TTACTGAAATTTAAAATTTAAAGCAATTAAGACGAATTGAGTATAAAATATGAATAAATTACTGGTTTGGTATAATAGGTATTTTGACGTGTTAGAATTTTCTTAAATATCCTTGAATTATAAAAATATGACCGAATTGAAAACGAAATCACTTGGCAGTTCGATTTTAAGTTCCTAAAAAAAACTAAGAATTTAAAAAATTGATAGTAGAAATAAGAAGAGTTTTTTTTAAAAAAAAAAGCATCAAAAAAATATCCACCCCTCATATTTAATCCGTAAAAATATTCACTCCGTAAACTGCCTTCAGATTAATGATTACAGGCTGTTTGCCGTAGCTATGTCTCGGGCACCGGTGCCTACTATGATATTATAAGAGAGAAAAATAGCTGAATAAAAATAAAAACAAAATTATACGTGAATAATATCCGGTGGTAGCAAATGATAAAAATAATTTCAGAAGTGCTCATTTTAAACTTCCTAGGCAAAAATTTGTACCTATCAAAACACTATGTGTACGCGCTTATTATATTCCGACGCACGTATTTTGTTTTTTGCTCCCTGCCTCCCTATTATAATATTCTAAACGCGAAAAGTAACAATAATAACATAATATATGCGTGTTCACATTCCGAACCCACGAGAAAATGGCAAAAGTATACGGGTCGTGGTTTTTAAAAATATTTATTTCAAAATCCAGTCCCACGTGTAATAAAAAAATAAAAATATTGCATCGATATCGCTCGGTATAACACTCGAATGTTTGATGCGGGTTTCGTTTCATATTATTTTCTTTTTTTTCAAAATGAAATATTATCATAATACGAGTATTTCATGAATTCAAAACGTGTTGGTCGTTCACAACGACGTGAATACACGTACTGCAGTTATCTCGTTATTTATGTAAGCTGAATAATAACCCCAGCTTCCACCGACAATGGAAAATTAATTTTTACAAACATAATACGTTCACTGTCAAACACGATATAGTGCTTCGAATTTGACACCCGTTTGGCAGGTGTACACCTGTTCCGGTATCCTTTAAAAAATAAAAATCTACTTTTTTAGATTAGAAAAAAAACGATTCCGAATAGCAAAATGAAAGAGTCGTTTTTTATACTTCCGTAAACTTAAAGAAGATTGAATATATATTTGTACCCTATCTGTCCCTCATCCGTTTAAAAATCGAATAGAAAGCAAAGACGAAGAGCTATGTGTTCGAGTATTCGGGTACACCATTATGTGAACGAAAATTATTACGGCTGAAAGACTTGCTCCTTTAAATATAAAAAAGTAAAATCTATATACTTATGTATACATGTATGTATATATTATATTATGTATACGGTTTTGAATTCCGAATAAAATCTAGATTATCCAGCCTCCGGTGGTGTAGGGTGAACAACCGAAAAGATTAGGACGGGTCGAAAAAAAAAAAAAAACATAATAATTATTACATCACAAGGGAAAAACGTACAGCAGCTATATGTGTATGTAACACAATTATAATACAAAGCCATTAGTTTTGTTGCAGGCACTCCGGCCTGGGAGCACTCGGGATAGCGGCAAAACGGGGGTGCATGCCGCAACGTGCGTTTGTCAAACGATAATAATTAATAAAAACCGAGAAAACACGGTTGTTTCCGTTTTTAGAGACAGAGCACTGGGGAAAAAATATAACAATTATAATATAAGCCCGACGTCGAGCTTGGCTTACATTGGCGGATAAATTGGCTGAATTAATTCGTCATTCACCGCGTATCAGCCGTACAAAACGCACGCGTTTCAATGTTGTTCTCAGTCTGTGTTCTATTTTTATTTTTTCTCTGCAAAAAAAAATACCTATGGAGTCGTGCTTGGTACAAAAAAAAAAAAAAAAAAAACAGATAGCTTAATTAAATATTTCCATCACCATACCGAATTCTATTCAAACCCTGAAGTATAAAAAATATTGGTAATTATAATTGCTAATTAAATAACAAAACCGAGATATAATTTACTGATGATTTCGAGCTCCCCAGCTATCAGCCTATTAACTTAATTACATCGATAGTGCGATTAACATACACAATGAATAATAAAACGCAAGCCAACAAAAAAAAAATCAACAAATTCTATTTCCTCCAATCGTAATCAAAGTATCTCAAGCGATGTTTTCGAAATCAGCCAAAAAAACCCAAACAAACGTAATCTTTCATCCAACGAACTACCCACGTCAAAAAATAATAAACCTCTATTTGTAACTTCGAATAGACATGTATACCTTGATGTAGACGTCGGTCTTGAAACCTATCTTGATCAAATAAATACCTAGGCAACCTAGTAGTGAATTAAAATTAACCCGAATAAATCCTTTCATGTAGTATTTACTCTACGTAAAAAAGAAACTCCATCACTGAAACTGCAAGGAGTGGATATTCTCACAATCTCACAGGAAAAAATGCCTAGGACTTACACTCGATCAGTGCCTAACCTGGGGCCCCCACTTAAAAGCAAAACGTAAAACACTAAATAACCGTCTACATATGCTCCACCCCATATTTAAATCCAAATTATCAATTCACACTAAATCAATGTTATGCAAATCCCTATTAAGGCCTATCTGAGCTTACGGCATACAAATCTAGAGTTGCGCCAAACCAACCCAAACCCAATCCATTCAATCCTTCCAGTCAATCTATCTCCGACTTATAGCCTCAACCCCCCTGGTATATAATTAACAAAGCACTACATAAAGACTAAAAAATAGATCCAGTAGACCAACTAGCAAAATAATACTATACGAAATTATATTCAAACTACAACATCATCAAAACCCAATCATCTCACACATATCCTCACGCATACTATCCAAAAATCCTCATCGCCATCTGAAAATACGATGGTGTTGAGACCTCCTAATTTAACTTAAATCACGTTCCAAAGGGTTCTATCAATGGATAGGCTCTCTCATCAAGGTATTCTGTTATGTAATAATATTGTATAAATGTTTTATTTACTTATTATGTTTTTTTTTTCAAATACAGATTATAAGTTTTTTTTTAATAAAAAAAAAAAATAATAATAATAATAATAATAATCCGTAATAATATAGGTATTATTATTATTAATATTATTATACAGGTGCGCACACGTGTCACGCAAGTCTTTGAAATCCGATTAACAATATATATAATATATACGAAGCCATTGGTAACGATGACGATGATCATAATATATTAACAATAATGATAATAATAATAACATAGATACAATGGCAGAACCTCGAATAATGCACAATTGATTGTCCGAATAAGAGGCATGGATGGTACTCCGGACCAATAATCTGACCAGTGATATAAATCATTATTATTAAACACCGCGCATAATTTCGCCCTTATGAATATTCATTAAAATTATGGAATAAATTCCGAAAATTTGATTTTCCTATAAATTTGTTCGCATAAATTTAACCACGATTTTTCTCTCGAGTGAACATGTTATACGAACAGCTAGAGGATGTTCGACATTTCCATTCCGGTATTTAAAATATGCACTATCATTTTTTTTTTCAAAGTTTATTACTTCACATACATGTGGTATTAATTTTGATGAATCATCTGTTCCTAATTAAACCTTTCTACTAGGGTGACATTTAAAAACTAACAGTACAATTTATATGTATTTTTTAGGTTACAAACTACGGAATAAACAATGTATTTTTATCTCAAATTTTGTTGATAATATAAACAGCTGTTTTGCTATGATGCTAAAAAATCAAAATCGCCGTGATCGGTAGCAAAATTATAATTTCACTTTCGTAATTTGACTTTTGATTTTTTTGTGTTATAGATACTTCTAACTTGTATAACTATAATATTCGTAGACGACTGTGGTTAGGTAACTAAAATCCCGGAAGCCGTGATATATTATTGTAATCGTAAATGCTCTCTCTCTTTCTCTCTTTCCCTGTCTTATAAATAAATTCCCTCTCTGCCATCCTACTGACGAGATACGGTCGGGGTTGAACCGAGCGCACACATTGACGACGAACTAGGTCATAGGTTTCGGCCATCCATCCGCTACACGGTTGATGTGCAGTCGGCTACAAATGCCAACGCAGGTCCGTTGGTTGTTCCTTATCGAATACGAACGTTTTATTTCAGTCAGTTTTCGTGTACAACCCCCCTTCGGCCGAGTTTAGTATTCGTTTTCGATGTAATAATACGTGTCCCTTCCGTACATATGATCCGGTAATAACGATGTATACCTGCAGTATTGATCCAACGCTGAGCAAATATAATCGCAATGGGTATTATTTCTTTTTCGACCCCGTTGAGCCGATGATTTTATTTGATTTGTTAAACAAAAACGGATAAAAATATAAATTCGATTGATTAAATGCCAGTGTTGTTGGCACAAATTTACTCGATCTCTCATCCTTAAAAGTGTTCATAATAATACCGTTATGTTGTGTCACGGATTTTCTTCGGGTTTCCGATATCGATTTGAAATGGTTAATAAATCCATTTTATTTTACAAGTGAATGATATTCGAATCGATTCTGTTTTATTACTAGATCACGACTCGGTGTACGGCAAGTTTCGTTCGAAACGTGACAATCATCAATATTGCATACATGTAATGGTAAAATTGTGGTACAGATATTAGACAATATAACAGCCTCAGACGCATATATGATACATTGCAAGTACCATTTTACGTATGATCGTTACAGGTCTATGGATATAATTGTCGCAGTTAATCCCTCGTACAGATTATCGCCCGACTATAGACCGAAACCTCTCTGCAGGTATTTAGGTAGTTCGATTGGCTCCTCCAAACTATTTAATAAGTAATCGTACTTGGTCATAATTATTATTACAGTTGTTGAGGGATTTTCAAGGCTACGTATTCGCTTAAAGATTATCAGTGTCTATGCATGTTAACGATAATGTTCTATACTAGTAATATTGTTTGACCGAGTGGGTAATGCTTCCCGTTTTTTTTTTCTTTGATTACAGGTGTACAAAGGATGGCCGGTCTCAAGGAATGGCTGTTGGTTTTTTTGTCCATGCATTTTGCTCATTACTGTTGGTAAGATAAATTTATGTGATTTATGTAAACATATAAAAGGATTAATAAATATTACAATGACAAATTGAAAAAAAAAACCACCGAACGACAGTTCAAGCGGTCATACATATTCGATCTTTATTTGAGAACAACGATAATTTAAAATATAAATGTGTAAACAATCGCTAAGACTATCGAAAAAAATCTATTTCGAGACCTCAAAATATTTAAATCTCTTAAATTTAAATTTCATCACTACAAAGAAAAATAAAACGAACAGTAACGATGTCGTTCGTTTTTCTTACTAGGGAAATAAAAAAAACTACCATGAGTGACATTGACATACTGGCGCGAAACAAACTCTGAACAATATCCTTTATATTTGCCGCATGCGTTATAAGGTAAAATTGAATATTTATTATACGAGAGAAATTTTGTTTAATATAGCACACGGATTGACGATGATGCCTGTATTTACACTGGAAACTCTCAACACAGGTGTCAACCGAAAGTCAATTACAGGCACAAAGAAAAAGAGGTCTTGGACCAAATCTTAGGTCCCGGAAGCTACGACGCTAGGATCCGTCCTTCGGGAGTGAACGGCACAGGTAATACATGCGATCAAACATTTTATTATTTTACATGAATACTTGTGAGTTACACTCTCACGATACCAAAAAAATATTAATAACATAATAAATGTTAATTTTTATTCTTTTTTTTTTATAATTTATCAAATCTTAAAATCAATACAATGTTAAAAATTGTTTAAACTGTGCAGGAATGATTTATAACATATTTCAAAAACGTTCGATGATAATAATATCATATTTCATATAATCTCAATAATATTTGTTAAACAACGAAGGGCGATAAAAGAGATTGATTTTATCTATAATGGGTTCGTCACCACAAAGCGGCATCTTATTTCCCTTCATTATTAATTTTTTCGCTTTTCCCTTCATCGTTTTTTTTTTTTTTTTTTATATAAATGCTTTTACACTCTCAAAGTACTTAAGGCTTTTCGCCAAATTAAAAATAATAAAAAAAAAAATCCATGAGTACTAATACACAGTGCCAAATACCCTTTTGTGTTATTTTTATGCCTGTACATCAGAGAAGGATTTTATTTTTAAGTGGCCACTCATTTTTGCTTTGTCCACCCACCACTAAGTTTAACATCCAAAAATGTTGCTAATATTCCTTCATTAAATTAACTGCACCTGTACTCTCCCGAACTAATAAATATTTTTGATAACTAAAATTATATCAGAAAATTAGTATTGCTTATAAGATATATATAATATACTAATAATAATTCCTAGATTGGCCAGTTATTGTTAAAATAAACTTAATGCTACGAAACATCGAGAGAATTAGTGACAAAGAAATGGTAAGTGTCGAATCGATTAAGCACATTGGTTCACTCAATATTTTCTTTTCAACATTATTTCTGTCAACAACAAGAAATGTCACAACTATTATGATCGTTTAATCGTTTATCATATGGTTTATTAACATTTTATGCACTTCTATTCGCACCACAATTAATATAATAAACAATATTCTTATATTATCCTTTATTGGATTACATCTATTTATATTCTTAATAAGCACTTATTTTGTTTATTTGATCGTTTATTTAAATTGGCGATTCATAACTAAACAAAAATGTCTTGTTCAATTAATTTTGTTTTACGAGCTATATATTATGTTAATGAGCATAAAGACTAAAATATAATTAATAAAATATTGTTATGAATGATATCAAATATTTTTCTCAGAACACACTTCATTAAAAAATTCGTTCAATCCATTACGATTAATTAATTTTTTATTTTCTCAATGTCACAATATTAATATAAACGATAAAATCAGTTTGTTCATTCAAATGTTTTCCTCAATGATTCAACATCAATTTCATCTACACCGCTTCAACAACTCTTACTTGATTTAACACTATTGTTTCGTTATTTTGTATATTCTTTAAGCATGTCCACAGAGTCATTATTTTTATAATAATTAATATTTTCATTTTACCCCGTATAAATTGTTTCACCATGATTCTATTACTAATGAAAAAATAAAGACTGTAAATACCAAAATACCATCAATATATTGAATTAAAAGTCTCAACTCGTTTTGTTTATACACACGATTTTAAACGAATGTATATATCATAATATTTTCTTGTACCTACATATAGATTTGAAATGTTTTCAAGTAATGATTATTGCTCTTTTCTCCACCGTCCACACTTCATGCAATTTTAATGTTATGTAATTTTCTTTTATTAATTCAATTACACCTACCTAAAAATAATATAATTAATGCTTGTGGATATTATAACACACAAAATAAATAGTAAAAAAAGTTTTACATATTACGTCAATGGCATTGAATCAATTGTGACAAATATATGAGATATTATCTTAAACAATCTTGCTACTGCTGCTGTTGCAAAAATTGTAATCAAATTTATTGTATTTTGAACGATATCAAATTATACATAAATATATATTTAAAATATTTTATAACTCCCTAGATGGCCCAACAATCGTGCACATAAACCTATTTGTGAGAAGTATCATGACAATAAGTGACAACAAGATGGTAAGTCATCTTGTCTCTAGGTTGGATGCTGGTATTTTGAGCGAAAACAAACGCAATTTTTTGTTGTTTTATATGTTTATTTTTAGAGAAAAATATATTCTAAATTATATATTTATTAACGTAAAATGTTATCGACATGATATATTATATATTTGTAGATGGTCCCGTCCGCTATTATTATTATTATTATTATTATTATTATTATACTAACAATATTTCCTGAATCTTTCACCCGCTCTTGATGAACGTTTTATTTTGCATTCATAGCAGTTTTATTTTTTTATTTTTGTACATTACATGGAATGATTGTGTATAAAATAAATATAAACATATAGATGTTAAATAACGAAAAAAAAACAACAACAACAACAATTCTCGTAAAAACGCATATAAAAACACACTGTTTTATGTCCAATACAAACGTATGTTAAAAGAGTTTTTTTCCACGGTACATAATATTTATATATGTGTATATGTGTATAAACTTATCAAAATCAAAACAATATTTAGCGCAGTACTGTAAACCGACCAAGTGCAAGCTTGTCGTTTACTCGGTCTAGACGAGAAGAGAATCATAAACTGTATTATTTGTGGTAGATAATATTATAACACAATGTCTGGAGGCCGTATGAAATATGTATATGGATAAGCTCTGAAGACAAAACGAAATTTGATTTCAATACATTTAATAATTTCTTTGTTATTTACTGAAACTTATGTGGATTTTATACTCGTATAAGGAGCTCATCGGTCCGTTGTAAATACATATATTTGATATTTATACACACGATCTAAGTGGAAGAATTGTACGAAATCGTTTTTCATATACTGCTATTGTAGGAATAGTTTTTTATACTTAGCTTTAGAAATACACTAAATCCAGAAATTATTTCAAATACCTGGCAACTTAAACTTAACATAAAAGTGTCAAGAGAAAAAAATAAATACAAGTAAATCGTAAATCGTTTTTGATACAAACTATCATGTCTAACTGTTGTAAATTATCTATCCAAATCGTTATTAATCGCCGTCATGACGTACCGAAAACGGATTTATGTGCAATCGTATAGTACACATATACATATATATTCATACGAGTACCTATTTATATATGATATAATAATATATACAAGCCTACCAGGTCGTTTTAGATAGGCGCTATAGAATATGTATTAGTAATGCTAATGTAAGCAATATTATTGTTGAAGTACACACTGCGTACGTATATTGTTTTAGGTTTGACAGTAAATATATTATTAAACCTTAACCAAACTTGATGCATAGCGCTGTTATATTAGATTAACGATATATTATAATATATGGTCATATTATTATGCTGTGGAGGTTGTATTTATTTACTCCGTGGGTATACACTACATTATCGAATATACGTTTGCACCTACTATACTAACTATACATACCTTCAAGTGAGAACGAACCCGTGACGTTAAGATAATCTTTCGTACGTCGTCCCTGTGGTTTTCGTGAAACGCGAATCGAGAGAATTTGAATTTTAAAACTGTACTCGTAAACTTATGCATTGCAAGTATTTTATTTTTATTTTATGTTAATATTTCGGTTTTTTTTCACCCTTAGAAAATATACCCACAGCAATATTATTTCATGAATACGTAAAATCACATGTAGACAAATAAAACGCACACATCTGATAAATATAACACTAAACACAATAATTAATAGATTTTAAATTATCAGTTATACGATTTATTAATTTTTTTTTTTTTTTTTGTTTCTTTTAATATTTTTGAAAACCATTCATAATTTTCTCAATGAGAGCAAAATATTCGCTTATGATCGTTGTAGGTGAATGTTGTACCAGTCAAATATACTAACGAATTAAACAACAATTAAAAATACCATAAATAACTTAGTATAATTTTTTATACTTTAAAATTCATCATATTTATATTATATTTATATTTCGTTCCCACGTATTTTTTCTAATAGGAATTGGAATTCATGATTTTCTGTCATCGTCTATCTTACGCATAACGTAGACATGTTGACGTTTTCTATTTCCAACGTATTGATTAATCAATTTATGCGATAACGGTTTTAAAAATGAAAACTGATTTGAACTTGTCGAATTTTAAATTGATTATTTCATTCCTTTTTAAATTTTGTAATTAGCATACCAAATTATTTACTTTTGTTGATTTTTATGTATCCCATTTGTTTAATTCTATTTTAGAAAATTTGGAAAATAAAATCAAAATATTGAGAAAATTGATGAAAAATAGAATTAACGAAAAATTCAAATTGTTTTTTCAAAATCTTAATTACATAATTTAATCAATTGGTACGCTGAAAACGGAAATTGTATAGATCCCTATCTTGCTCGTGTGATAATCAGAGACAGAAAATCATGGTTTGCAATATCCTTAAAAAAATTAACACACACTTGACGATTTAATATAATGTTATTTGCGTACGGTCTTAAATCGTCAATTAATATCGTTTTGCAAATTATTTTTAAGATTTAAAAAAATTTGCTAAGCTTTTAATTTAAATAACTCAGTGTAAGCTATTATATTAACATCTTCATTATCAGTTAATAATAAAATATAATCAATTATGTTGAAAATACTTTATTACTTTTTTTTCTACTTCGCCAGTACTGATGCTGCTTATCAATGTCCCTTTTTAGTTCAATGAAACTTTTATTCGGTTATTATTTTAAGATAAACTCACGGGGAACCTTCCACTTCATTTGATACAATATTTAAATAAGTTTTATAAAGATTAATTTATGATCATAGAAAACCGCTATCTATACTTTATGCTTTTTTTCATCAAACAGTTCGATTTATAATAATTAACAATCCACGCATATTTACGCTTACTATGACTCAGAAGTTTGACAAAATAAGTACTTGCATATTTTTTTTTATTTTGCTTTAGAAATTAGATAGTTTATAAACGATAAATTTATTTGAATATTATAGGTTAAATTTATTTGTTTATGCTTCCGAAGAACATTGGATAAATTATAGGTACACCTATATGAACAGAATAATGATACATATTTTAAATATAAATATTTTATTTCAAATATAATTAGATGGTGATTTTCGGCTATAATTTTATACATTTGAATTTTAAATTTCACCAAATCAAAATATAATTACACTTGAAATCTGGACTTCTAAAACACTTTGTTTGATCATCGTATTCCATAGATTCATCGCATTTTCAATATAAATGTAAATGTGTTTAAAATACGAATTCAATTCTGCTTCCATTTTTGTTTTGCATTAATTATAATCTTGAATAATGACAAAACAATTCAATTTATTTTAATTTTCTATTACCTTTTCTAAATGAGATTCAATCAAACATGTTCATATTTTCGATTAAATAATTATTTTAACTTATACTGAATCGTCTAATTTTTATCCAATAAACTTTCCTAAAATTCAAATTTAAAGCAATTTGTTATTTTAATCCTTGAACATTAACGAGAAGTTTTCTGAATTATATTTTATTTAAAACTTATTTAACCGTTTTATAATTAATTTTGTTAAACAAGAATATCTTTAAAATCGTTCACTTAAATTTTTAACGGTATAAAGAAAATATTTTACTTTTTCACGAAGAAAACGAAAAATTGTTAAGGTAATTTCAACATTTCAAAAACAATCATTGTAATAACGAGAAAATAATTATAGACCACGGCACTCTAATATGTTTCGTAGTGATATTTTAACTAATTATTGTTATATATATATATATATATATATATGTATACATATATACTATATACGTATGTATAATCAATAAATATAATATTTAATTTTTTATATAACAATAGCTCCTTGAAAAAATAATTAAACACGGTCATTTTAATTTATACGCAAACATTATCCCATGAACAATGTATGCATCTGTATGCGTCCATTGCACACCCTGTAAAATTAAATCTTTAAAAGATAACGTTAAAATATTTTATAATATATAAATTATAGTGAATGGCCTAATGAATAGTGCTAGAATTTTTTTCTTAAAAGATATAAATAGTATACTTCCCGCCATGTTATTATTAGGTTACACTTGAGTTTTTTTTCTTTTATTTATTATTATTATTATTGTTATAATTTTCTTTTTTTGAAATAATGTAATATGTTATGTAGTATGCTGATTTGTTTTTTCTAACCGCTGACTATATTTTGTCGGTCTTTATTGTATCCCGCAGGCGACTCTCCCTGCATTGTGTTTGTCAACATGTTGGTACGGTCCATCAGCAGAATTGATGATTACAAAATGGTGAGTCGGGTGATGGCCTTAAATAATTTTTATTGGTTTTATTATTTTTAATTTAATTTTTTTTTTATAAAATATTATTATTTGGTTTTCTGTTGTGAGATTGCGCCCAATTTATTTGCGGATTTTATGTTTTTGTTTTCGTGTCCGTAGGAAAATGTCTTGACCAACAGGATCTTCAATTATGTATGTTATTCTTAATGCAATTAGGTCCTAAGGTCTGCTCGTCTGACGCACAACGATCAAATTGAGATTCGATTTAAGCATATCTTCACTTAATTACGGAAAACACAATATACTCGTATCACGATTATTATTAACAATAGTTATCTACGTACCGATTATTTTCTGTTGGACAAGATGTATTGTTTACATACGATTCTACGAATATTATTTTTTATTCTTTTTAAACATTTGATTTTCGTTATTATTCTGAATACTCATTACTTGTTTTTATTTTTATTTTTATTTTTAAAAAATGCATTGAAATGGTGTGTGTGTATTTAGGCATTTTTGTGTCTTGTATATAAATACATACAATATCATACATTTACATATATTTATATTTTTATATATATATAATACAATATTATATGTTGTATTAAATCATATACATATACATATATATATATATATCTTAAGTAGTATGTTAAATATTTCAATTTATATATATATATATATATATGTATATTATACCATGCTAAGTAATTAATACAATTTTATATAATTTTATGAAAATCAATGAAGTTCAAAGCCATTGTCGTAGAAATAAAAAAGTAAAAAATTTGTGTGCACCATTTTTTAATTAAATTTATTAGGGCACTATTTAAAGTGGTATTTTTGTTTTAAAAAGTTTTATAATATGAAAACGCGTTAAACGCATATAATAGGAGTACAACTTTTTCCGAGAACAAAAGATATAATATATGTTTACAATGGGACATCAAACGTAGCTATACGGAGAAAAATATGTATAATAACGAAAATAAAACACCGAATAAAGTTAGTCATTTAATTTTGCATTCTTCTAATTATAATTACTCTACGTACATAATATATATTGTAATTATTTATACAAAACTTATTCGTTTTAGAACTTTATTGCAGTTCGTAACATGTGACAAGTTGGTTTCCCTACATTATACTTTCAGTATAAATTTTTTTATTTCTTTTTTTTTTCGTACATTTGGTATTTTATTTTATTTTATTGTTTTTTTTTGGCACTATTTCTGATATCAACTCTGAACAGCATTTTTATGTTTCTCCGGACGTTATAGTTTAAATGACGGTCATACGGTCCAACGTTACCGAAACGATAATAATTCATACTCAATACATTTAATTTATGAATGGCAGCAAAACGATTCGTGGCTTTTAGAAAAGATATTGGATTTCGTGTGAATAATAATAAAAAAAAAAAAAAAAAAAAAAACACTACCTACATAATACTTAATAATTATTATTATTATTATTATTTTTTTTTTTGAACTTTTGATGTGTGTCGGATGTTAATACATAATTCATAAAAAAACAAAAAAAAAAATTTAAAATAACGCTTTTGTTGGTTGTTTTTTTTTTTTTGAAATGCGATTATTTTTTATATTTTTTATTATTATACAATTATGACTGTCACCTGCCTCACTGTTTTTAATCTGTAAATTTCCGTGCCTCAGATGTGTATCTATGACGATTCCATTCGACGATAACTGTATTATTTGTTTATTTTGCATGTATTATTTATTTGAGTACGATCCGCTAATATGCTTGCACGTGTCTTATGAAATATATAGCATACCGTTTTATTGACGTAGCTTGCGCATACGCGCGCATAGTGTTAATAACGTGCACACATATATTTCTATATAACAACATGTATAACGCTTTCCCGTGACATTTCACTCGGCCCACGCGTCACGATATCGTTGCGGCGGTACGCGATCGGTGCGCTCCGGGGGGTGCTGAAGTAGTTTCTGAAAAGAAAATTGATGGTATTTAATCTTTAATTACTATAGGACGACATAAAAAAAAAAAACCATGGATGCTAAATTTAATCTAAGGAGCGCTTAAACCCTTTTGCTCCCCCTAGTTGCGCCTATGCGTCCGTGAAAATCGTTGCGTTCGCGTGGGGAGCAGCTCATGCGTTTGTTGCGGTCACAGAGCTCAGCCTTTCAAAAGTCGACGCGTATAAACACGTCTTTTATGATGCCGAGTTGTGACGTGCTTTAAATCGGAAAACTTCACAGACGAACAGCAGGACCACAACCGACCGCCCGGTCGAATACGCCGCTGTACAAATCGTCATGTTTTCGGACCGGTTTGCGATGTCGCCCTTTCCGATTCCTCCGTCAATCGGCACTTCGGTATAACGAACCGTCGAGTAGGCGATTTGATAATTTTTTAGACTATAATGGTGCGAGTTTTTTTTTTTTTTTGCACGAAACCCAGTAATCTCCCCTTACTCGTATGACGGTTGAGACGTGCAACTGAATTTGAATTGGCGAACTGATAAGACTATGGTCCCATCCTAGGAAACGCCGGTAGGTACGCGAGTGGCGGAGATCCGACGGGGGAAACGTAGGCAGTCTTCACCGGCGCTGTCCTCGACGTCCGAGTGACGAGTGCTTTTCTAGGTCCGTCCATCGTTTCCGCGAGCCACAAGACCAACAACAACGACCATCAGACACGAATATGGGGTAGGTGGACAGTGTCGACACGACCAACTGTGCCCCGTTCAGCAGATCGATTCTATATCCATACCGCTTGCAAACGACCACGGGGTTTTCACGTACACCCGCAACGTCCCTTGCTCTACGGAGCACTGGGCCGTGTACGTCGGGCATCGCATCGCATCGATATCCGGACGCTGAACCGATACGATATTATTGATTTAATTATTGCAACATAATTGTTGATAATATCGTGTTTCGCGTGCATCTTGCATCTTGATCCATCGGTTGGAAGCCCACTGGTCGCTCACAATGATGTGTGTGTGTGTGTGCATGCGTTGTTGCGTTTGAACCGTTTTCAGCACATTGCAGTGCTGTTGTTATCATTAGGTTTATTTGTTATTAGTTTCTTTTTTACTTTTTCGTTCGTTAATTTTATTTTTTTTATTTTTACTTTTCCGGACCATTTTGCAAACGGTTATCGCGCGATGTTCGCGAAATGCACGGGTGGCGCGCGGGCTTGGCCGGGCGCATCGCTGCACGCAGTGGACGTTCTTCGCTCACGATGTCCACGCGTACCGCAATCAACGACCACCCGCGTGCACTTCCCGTGACCGGGGCCCTGGACAGTAAGCGCGATGGTCCGACGAAAGGGTTTTGCTCCCCCCCCCCACTTGCAACTGGATAGCCGAGCACTAACAACGTGTTTTCGATTCTCACCCGTATGACCACGTGCGAAACGATACCCGTTCACCCGGTGTCTCTTTAACAGACGGCATTTGAAAAAAATTTATAGACCAGCGGTGTTTTCAATGTCATTTTTTTTTTTTTTATATCCGTTTCGGATTTGACTTCCATCCAGTGCCGTAACTACTCTACGTGGCGTCCAGGGCGAACATTATTTTGGCACTTATTTCGTACAAAAAAAACCAATTTGAATTTAACTCAAATTCACCATTGACTTAGCTGCGCTTTCCTACGCCTTTGGCAACCACCCATTTCGCCAACATCAAGTTATAACACTGCTTCCATCTCATTTCTCCAGCTAAAACACCATTCCACCGGTAACGAATATTAATAAATAACAATATTTTAAAACCCATATGGCGATAAAAATCAATAGGTGGTCTCAAAATAATATGCTTTATATATCATTGCATACAATATTATATAGTACCTGCACACGAATGCGTCTCTGTTGGTTGGTGGGTGTAACTGTAATGCAGTAGCTATTAGTAGATAAACGAGTGCAATAAAAAGTTATTAATATAGCCACAAACGAAAAAATGTCTACGGAAGTACAATTAGAAACGTATTTATCGTGTAAAAGATAAATTTCAAAATTGATTGAACACAAAAATATACATTTTTATCGCAACACCGAGATTTGTCATCTATATAAATCGTTCAACTGCAACAGTCAAGGCCAACATAAAAATTGTCCAAAAATAAATCGAATGCTGAAATTCGGATGTAAACACACAAACACGCACGACGACCGGTAATACGGAAAAAATTATCTGCAACACCCCGGGCGCTAATGACTATATATGCTTATACTGTTTAAATCTATACACGTTGTACGTGTATCAAATCGATCCGGAGCTACGAAATGAATATGAACAGGGTTGACGGGTTTATGCGAGGTATTAGGCATTCGATCTGGACCCCTCCCCCCTGCTCGAAAAACAATTCGTCGTGCCACAAAGCAACGTGCCCTAATCCGGAACGGAAAAGAAAAAAAAATGATAATCCAATACTATGAACACGCGATCCGACGCAGAACTCACGAAGCTGTGGCCCTTCGTGGAACGATAACGTGTTACACGCTCAACCGTATCCCTTCGCACGACTATCCGGTGCACAGTAAAATAATAGCGTAAAATCAAGTCGTGAAGGCGTACGAGTCAAGTCGTCGAGGCTTCACCGTAGGACGTTGGATTATTACCGCGTTTTCACACGACTTACATTGGTGGAGGGAATGGACCCGCAGCTCGTGTTTGTTATTCTGTTTTTTCGACTGCAGACGTTTACTGAAAAACAATACGTGTACCAGCCTGTATACGTATAGTACGGTGCAGTATCATCTCGTATGGCGTGTGATTGATAACGCGGCGAACTAGATACTGTGCATGATGTGCGCCTCGACGTTTCACTTGAACTCAGTAGCGGATTTAAGCGGGAGCCTTGTCTACCCTCCTTTTCCACTGGCCTAGGACTTGAATTGGTTTTGTAATAGTTGCATTGTAAAAAATATAAATAACACAATTTAATGACATCAATAAAATCCGTAATGTACAATAAGTCGTGTATTTAATCCTATTTTATGTGTGTGTGTGTGTGTGTGCGTGTTTTTTCTTTAAACAATTTGGGTGTTTTATAATTTTTTGAAGAACTTCGCCCCCTCCCCCCTGAAATAAAATTTTAGATTCACCACCACTTGACTCGTATGCTAGGGTAAGCGCTGAACACTCGTTAAAGCGACGTAAAGCGCACCCCCTGTTGCGAAATACGTGTAGATCGATACACTGCTACGGTCGGACCACGCGTTCCAACGCTTAATCACAACCCTATCCATCCCCTGGGCCTCGGACGCATTTCGTCGACATCATAATACACATCATATGGGTATATATATATATATATATATATATATATATATATGCAAATGATATTACGCGCGTGATATGTTTTTAAACGTGTGTTTTGTGTGTGATAGGAGTATAGCGTGCAACTGACGTTCCGCGAACAATGGATGGACGAGAGGCTGAAATTTAACGATTACAACGGTAAATAGTACACGTAAATCGCTTTGCCGCTCGTCAAAAGCGCACTCGAACGGCTTCAACTCGCGGTGCAGGCGATCGCGGTCCCGCGTTTTGCGTGCGCGTACCTGTGCCTGTCATCGGGTTAGGATAATGATCACGAATATTCTCGCACGGAGTGTTAGTGAAGACTGCACGTACTTTGTGCGTTTGCGTTCAACGGCCGGTAGAAAATGTGCGATAATTACGCGCAAATTCGATATACGTGGGACGTGGGGTAGGGATGAAAAATAATGTCAAACAGATTCGCTTCACGGTAAATCGTATTGTTCAACCGCGTTCCGGAAAAAGTACGGCCTAAATGCGCCGATCTCCACCGTCTCCGTTTGCGATCAGATTAGACTAAACATCACGGTAAACCCGTCCTCCTACGTCTACGCGTAGTGCAATACCATTAGCTGAACCCAGGTTCTTAGGGGTGTGCTGAAACCGTGGATAACTTGGCAGCGGATATTAGTGACGTATTAGTAAAACGCTTACGTCCGAACTGTGTTCGTTGTTTTCATTGTTCTTCCAATCAGCAGCGGGTAAAATTAAACGTACGATTTAGTCGTACAAAATCGCATAGAGACCTTATTATAACGCGTTCTCGATCAACAATACTGTCCACGTCCGTGTGGGGACGACTTCAGACGCGACGGCCGTTCTAAAACTGTTTGAAAATCTCGGGCACTGGTTTAGGTGAGCTCCGGAAGATTTTGAACTCGCAACACGTGGTCCTTCTATCCAACACTTCAGTTGCGGGGTAACGTACGCGCACGAACTAACCGGTAGTAAACTTACGGTTCCGTTTGTCCCGCGCCGGACCGCGACGCGTGCGCCGCATCCACGGTTGAACGCGCTGCACCGACTCTTTTTGGCGTCCGGAAAACACTAACGATTTCTCGTTTGGCCAGGTAAAATGAAATACCTAACTCTGACCGAAGCCAGCAGAGTATGGATGCCCGATTTGTTCTTCTCCAACGAGAAGGAAGGCCATTTTCACAACATAATCATGCCGAACGTGTACATCAGGATATTCCCGAACGGACTGGTGCTGTACAGCATAAGGTTAGCATGTGTACACGTTTATTATTGTGGTCCAGCCCATGCTGCAGCATTTGACTGATTATTTTTAATTTTTTTTTCTATGTCTTAACACTGTCACTGTATTTTTTTTTCAGGATATCACTCACTCTGTCGTGTCCGATGAATCTGAAATTATATCCGCTCGACCGTCAAACGTGCTCGCTCCGAATGGTCAGTTGTAAGTATCCACGCCAAGTCGCTGATAATTAAGGCCCGGATTTTCGTGCAAAAAAGATACTGTTAAATGTGCACATACGAATTAAAATATATGATAAAGAATAAATATTTACCGTGTGCTTAATAAAAACTACGAATTTCGAAAGTAATCATACAATGCATGATGTAGAAAGATAGCAAAGATAGCACAATGAACATCATTGCGAAATTAAGAAATGTTATTTAGATTTTAAAGTTAAAAACTTCTGTGATTGTTACACAGCATAGGTTTTAACTTAGAAAACCTTCTTTACGCGTTGCAAGCACATATTTGAGATAAACATTTTATGATGTAGGATTTATGTAGATTGTATAGCACTCGGTCTGGGTGAATATATTGAAAAGACTATAAATAAAAACTTATGGAAATGAATATTTTGAATCGGAACAAAATTCAAAATATTTTATTTATAAAAATGTAACTTTTATGCAATTTATAGTCGTTTTTGATGAAATATGCAAATAAAAAAAATAAAAATTAACTATAAGAATCTGGGCATTGCGAAACGTCGACAGTTGCAATCAATATTATTTCAGGCGAAAGTAATTACATACAAATCTGGGCTTTACTAATAATATTATTGTTGTTGTTACCACACGACATACCGCGATGTTTTTTAACATCACTTTCGTTTTGAAATGCTTACCCTGCATAGACGGTTGGACCACCGACGATTTGGTATTCTTGTGGAAAGAAGGCGATCCCGTGCAAGTGGTGAAAAACTTGCACTTGCCAAGATTCACTTTAGAAAAATTCCTCACGGATTACTGCAACAGCAAAACCAACACAGGTACGCATAGCGTTTTTATATTAAAATGGAAATTATATGAATCATGCTGCGGTGTATAATGCGTGAATATTTAACATAAACGATGACCGGTTGCAGGTGGCGCGAGGGACTGCATCTGGTCCCGTAACCCTTTTCGTTATTTTTATAATTAATAAACGCTGTTTTTCTAAACGAATAATATATAATGCTCGATACATTTTATTAACTACCTCTAAGATATTTTATAACATACAACTATAATACATTATTTATTCACATAAAACTTCTCTGCACGTTGAGCAGTTTTATATGCTATAATACTATAGCTATAAATAGCTACCTTTTCCAGTCCGTACACAAGTGTATTATTATAGAGTTTGCAATGGAAAAAAAAACTCTATTTTATTCAAACATACGCATTTACTAATATATTTTTTTGTTTTAAAATTCCACGATTCAGTAAATATAATGTGTCAGTGAACAATAATGAATTAACATTACGCTGGTAACAGCATTATAAATACAATTTTCGCTTTGGCTCGCGAGCATTTGGATTTTACAAAGCAGCCCTTCACCGAATCCCTTTGAGCTGGCCGCCCCTTTTATATAACATTACATATTTACATTCCGTCCTAGTAAACCAAAAAATATATGCATAAATACTAAACCAATGCACGGCAGTTGAATTTATTTGAAGTAAAAACGACAGAGAAAAAATAAAATAAAATAGTTTTCCAGTATTCAATTTATGAGTGTACTGACATGTTTAAATGTGCACATGTATGGCACATTATGCTCGTACGGCGCTTCGTTTAGGCACTCCGACTATGTGACTCAACAACCTGTAAAATAATTTTCTTTGTGAAAATTGTGAAAAACGTATAGCTGAGAAGTATTGCATATATTTTAGATACTGAATAAGCTATTAACACGATTCGAATGTTCTATATTAGATTTGATATCATTGACTATTGTATAACAGCCGACAAAACCACATTGTACCTACATACGAAAATTGTTATAATTATTAAAACAGGATTGACTGAATAGAATTATTAAATATATAAAACGTGATTAATTTATGGTACGACAACTATTTCAAACGACCATGATTCAGTTCATAATATAATCTGATCTTAAATATTATCGAGAACCTTTCGCGTCATGCACGCAAATCCTATCGTAACCATCTTCGCTACGTACGCCATTGAAATTAAAATATCCCAGTTCAGGTATACACACGAATATAATATATTTATAATTGTACGGACATTATATCATCTCCGATATTGTGTACGCCACGTGGACCGAAATATTTCCTACACAAAACTATTTAAACACGCGAATAAGCTGCAGCACTGTGGGCAAGTATTTCATGTGAGCGGATAAAGGGCATGATTACATAAAGTTAACATAAATAAATAATAAATTATATGCAAATTATTGTATTTGAATATTGCATTATATCTGCAGTAGATCTATATTTCTTGACTCTAACCCCCATTACTTGTTTGAACGTAACGCAGTAAAAGTACTTATCATTTAGACGGTCCTTTCGGCAAAAAAAATAGTTCAACAAATAAAAAAAAAAATAAAATAAAAGAACTACATTCTACTTCGTTCGAATTACAGAGATAGGTTTTCACTTTTATTTAAACGGGGAAAATATCCTTTCGGGTATGCATTGAAAGCTGGCAGGACAAAAAAAAAAACATTTTTGACAGTACAAACAAATACCAATTTTGCGTAATAACATCCAATCCATTTAGTAGCAACGTTTCACCATCATATCGTTAGTACCTTTATATACACTTGGGCTTTTATAAATCCGTAGCTCGTGGACATACCGCAGCAGTACCAACGCGAGAGAGATAAAAATAAATTTGAGTTTTAAAATCCGTAATACTCAATGATTAAACGCTTAAAATTCGTAATGGTTCCTGACCGTTGATAATCAAGAACACGTGTTCGTTCAGTTTGTTAATGCGAAACGTTTCAACGGACCAAAAATCATTCGTTCGTTTGGAGCCTAAAAGATCCTAGACGGTATTTTCCAGTTATGACACGTAATAACGGTCACACATCCCTCAAGGGCGCCATTTTGGGTATCGCAAGCTATAAATTGGCGGCCCTATTTTTCTCCGTATCATAATTGGCCTGCCTTTATTTCATTCTGGCGCCGATGCTCGATATTAAATCGAATTGATTAATGTTTGAATCGAGCTTGTAGATGACAGTGTAATCTAGATTACGTAACAATATATCAAATACAAAAAAAATGTGCTCGCTAATAACTACTGTAATCTAAAGCCGCGCATACAGTAGACCCAAACCGGCCGAACCGACCGAACCGAAAAAAATCAAAATGCCGATTTTATATGTGAGTGCATACACTTGTACCGAACCGATAACCCGAACCGAAATTCGGGTCGGTTCGGATTTCAACCGTTCAAACATGTTTGAATTTTTCGGCCGAAAATTATTGGTACTATTCTATGTATAGGTCCTACCTCTTGATTTGAGACGTTGATAATAAATTAAATATTGTGGTCATATCACATTTGGTGTTTTAATAACATCGTTGTGTACCTATTACCTAGTACCTAATATGTTCTAGTATTAAGTACTTTAGATATATCTTAAATCGTGATATTTTAGTATATATGTTTTGAAAACGTACGTTTTATCTACAATTTTATCGACCGTTTCACATTGGTTTTTCGATAATGTAGTCGTACTAACTCGTAAGTATTTTAGTAATTGTAAATACATCGCACGTGAGAGTTGCACACCATGCACTGCATTCGTCAACTGTCGAAAACTGATTGTAGAAAATACAATACGTGGTTTACTCTAGTTATTATCTATTATAAGTCACGACATAATATGATTATTTAATTATCTATTTAGCTATTAACTTTGTTTTCGGAACGAAAATTCGGGGACACTCAATGCAGCTATACCCGAAAAAATTCGGACCGAATATTTTTCGGTTCGGTCGGTCCGGCCGGTTCGGGTCTAGTGTATGCGCGGCTTAAAAGAAGTACAAATTCTATTGGAGGCATAAGGGTTCTATTTAGATTTTGCAGTTTCTCTTGATATTTTCTTTTCGCTGATTTATTTTTCATCCCTAATAGTAATGTGAGAAATAACTGCAACGTAGCGTTACATTGCGATCACCGTTGTTATAACTGCGGCCTAGCGGTAGAAAAATGTGGCCTGGTGAAAGATTCCTATTTTAAAACCGAAATGGCGGCGCCGCCGACGTCCTCGATCACCGGTCGGTTTACCGATATCTTCGATCCGAAGGAGGGGGGGAGGAAGGTTCCGTTATCGCCGATATCTCGACGAGTTGGGCGAGAGGTGGCGCTCCAGGGCTCGCCACCCGTCCCTTTGCAACGGTGTGACACGCGTTCGCGCGGGCGTTTTATTCGCAGGCGAGTACAGCTGCCTGAAGGTGGACCTGCTGTTCAAGCGCGAGTTCAGCTACTACCTGATCCAGATCTACATCCCGTGCTGCATGCTGGTCATCGTGTCGTGGGTGTCGTTCTGGCTGGACCAGAGCGCGGTGCCGGCGCGCGTCTCGCTGGGCGTCACCACGCTGCTGACGATGGCCACGCAGACGTCCGGCATCAACGCGTCGCTGCCGCCCGTGTCCTACACCAAGGCCATCGACGTGTGGACGGGCGTGTGCCTGACGTTCGTGTTCGGCGCGCTGCTCGAGTTCGCGCTGGTCAACTACGCGTCCCGGTCCGACACGCACCGCGACGACATGAGCAAGAAGTGCGACCTGGAGCGCAGCGTGTCGCTGGACGTCGGCGACTACGAGGACGGCCCGAACTCGTTCAATATGGTGAGGTCGAATAGTACGGTGAGCATTGACCGAGCGCGGAGGACCCGGTTCGAAGCGCTTCGTTTACTTTCCAGCTTTTTCATTTACGTACTCTATTCGTGTTCATTAATTTTTATTCTTTTTTTAACTATCGTATTTTTTATTTTTTACACACATTTTTGGTTCGTTCGGTTTTTATATTTTATTTTATTTTTTTCCTCTACGCGTCGTCAGCCAGACATAATATTATCGTTACGCACATGTACGCGTGTTGTTCTCGATCGAAATACGCATGTAGCGTTTTTCAACCCGTTCTACCCTGTTGTACGACACCGGTGGACGAGTACAACAACACTCGTTTTGGTTTTGGACTTTACGCTCGTCCCTCCGTCGGGGGGACCTCCGTTTCGTCCGACGACCGATGTACCGGGCGCGAATTCAATCATTTCGATCGTGTTCCGTACACTCCTCCGTCCGGTTTGTTTTTCCATTTTCGGCCCCGGATCGAGGAACGCTTACACCGTTGACGGATAAACTGGGGCATATCATCGGAACTCAAGCGGAACGTTAATTCCTAATATTCTCTCCGTTTCGGCTCCGGCGGACCGAAATCGGTACGACGAATACGCGAACTAATATACACAACGGTCGTACGTTATCGAATGTGTTCATTCCCACGAGGTTCCGGACACACCAACGTTACCGCGTTACGACCGGAAAATATGGTCCGGACCACGACCGCGACCTGATTGCTCGAGCACGTGCGTTTCGATGATAACCCCTCCCCCCCTTTATTTTCCGCTGATTGATCCAACCTATTAATAAGTATAGAAACCAATCAGTGGAACTGCAATAAAAACCACATCATACATAGATCGAAATAAACACTTTTCGTTGTTATACGTAATAGTTGGATTTTATAGAAATAAATATTGTAGTAGTGCAACTTGGGTGTTTATTATTTTTTGTTTTACCCTCAAGCCCACGTATTCAATAATAATCTATTTGCCATACCAATGACGAAAGTTTTGAAATGATTGCGAATCGTTTATTTTTTTTATTTTTGCATTATTACCGACACGTCATGTGTCGTTTATAACCTGCAACCGTTTAATCGTACCCATTTGTGTTTTTCTCAAACGTAACTTAATCATTTTTACATTCAACTTGATATTGATGTTTTGTATACAAAAACACATTAATCATAATTTATTTTTATTTAATATACTTTTCTTTTTTTTTCAAAATGAAAAGCTGGGAATCAATGTTTGCATTATCCGCATGGTCTGCATCCTCTTTGAGTAAACAGTTTCCGAGACGTATTTCGCCTCCTCCGCGTAACTCATAGCATTCGGGCTTAAAATGGGTAAAAACGATTGCGTACACTCAATATGACGACGACGATGCGCATTATTATTCAAATGATGAACACACAATGGACAAAAATAACTTAATAATAATTTACGTTTTATTGAACGTATACTACGTATTTTTTGTATTAAATATATATATATATATATTTTTTTTTCACGTTTCGAATGACGTGAAAAAAAAAATAAAAAAACTACAACGATTTAAACTATCGTTGACGAGGAGCGCCATAATATTCCACGGAAACTGTCTCTGGTTAATGCGAAAGCTTGGCACTAGCCTGATTTTTGATTTTTATCAACCGTATTAATAACGAATACGTACAAACAATATAATAAACAATTTATATATACTTATATTTTATACTCGAGACACGTGTACGTGTAAATATACATACGGACGGGTTTACGTACGCTTATATCGTATTCTACACATCGGGTGCAGTAGAAATAACTGTAAATGTTGTGGCGAGAACAAAACAAAAAACCGCCCCTGCACGGAGCAGTAAAAACGCGCGTATTGTTTTATAAGACTATTTTTATTTTTTTTCCCCCTCGCACAATAGTGATCTCTTGGTTTCTCGAGTGATTTGTACCCGCGCGGTATGCCCGCAGTCTTACTCTTGCTTTGAAAGCATATTTTTTATTTCGCGTAGAATCAATGTTCGTGTACATTATGCTACGATGCATAATATTGACACGGCGTTATTTCAGCAGTAACCGTGTAGGCACATGTGCGTGTTCGAATGATAAAAACAAAAACATTCTCGTCCTACGTTTAATATAAAATAATACTGTACAATTTATTATTTATATTCGACTAGGAAAATACACCAGTATGAATACACGTTTGAAACTTGCCTCCCATTCTATAAAAGGGTCTAGGGCGGAGTTGGGCAAAAACAAATCAAAATAAAGAATACAAAATAAAAGCATGATTAACTAATTTATTTATAAATAAAGAATAATTATGGTGTACTGAATAAATGTATTCATTAAAATCATGAAATATATTAATTAAATAATTATATTAAATATAATAGTATATTTAATTTATTTTTGTCAATTATTATATGTATTAATATGTATTACCTTAATATATATTATTTAAGTTTAAATAATAAATTTATTATTATTAATCATCGTTATATTTATTATTTATATGATTATAGGGAATAATAAATAACGAATAACTGAATAATGAATAAAATATATTAAATAAAAATCTCCGAATAATGAATAACGAATAATAATACAAATTAAAATAATAAATAAAAATAAAAATCAATAATAAAATTAAGAATTAATCAATGAAGAATAATTTTTTATTCAAATAATCAATCGAATAATATTTTATTCGACTAATGCCCAACTCTGGTCTAGGGAAGTGCCACTGAACCACGCGTGTTATGGTCTTAAACATCGATTATTGTAACGGAAAAACTGGTAATCTATCCCCGTCCGTTTTTCGCGCTCGAACGAAACAACTCCTGAACACAGTAATAGCTTTGTTGAACAGTGATCTTGTAAAGCGATTTTCCGTTTGGGACCATCAAAAAATATGCCATATTCATAAGTGATGGAACCAGTTGAATCGGTACCACTGTATTTACACATGCAAAAGTGCTTTGTCGCGTCGATCTTCGTGTTGCTACACAAACGCAGCGACGTACTAAGAGTATTGCCACCTCAGGTAACATTTTATTGCCAACCTATACACATTTTAAAAAATTTAACAAAAAGTTACGAAAAAATGCTGCTGTCCCTTAATTCAAAAAAAAAAAAATTGCCACCCGGGGCAATGGTACCTCCTCGCCCCCTCTAAATACATCCCTGCATAAATGGTAATTTCTGCTGCACACTTATTGTTTTACGTATGTACGTACACACCTCTGTACACAAGTACATTGTACGCACACGTGTTTCGAATATTTGGTTTTTTTATTTTTTATTTTCATTTTCCATTTTGAACAAAAAACTATATACGTAATAGTATACCGTATTGTATGATTATGAGAAAAAATAAATAAAAGAAAAAATACCATCTCGTTCGTATTCGCTCGGATCGGCGAACCTTGGATACTATAATGTCCACTATGTTTCCAGAAACCGCTGATGCGTCCCGAGTTGATGATGTCTAGGGACAAGATGAGCCAGATCATCCATCAGACGCCGCCGATGGAGCAGAACTCGTGTTGGAAGTCGTGGATGTCCAAGTTCCCTACTCGGTCCAAGCGCATCGACGTCATATCCCGCATACTGTTCCCGATGGTGTTCGCCATGTTCAACATGTCCTACTGGTCCACGTATCTGTTCCGCGAGGGCGTGGACGAAGACAAATAATATCGTCGTCGTCGTCCCATGTCCAGTGAAGTTATAGAGTGTCTCTGTAACCCCTGTGATAATACGATCGCGTGTTTATTGTGTTTCGTACGATTGCATTACGTACTCCGACGTTCGTTCGGGGTGTTTTTTTTTTTATGTTTCTTCGATTCGTCATTATTATTATTTGTCGTTCTGTTTTTTTTTTTTATCTTTTCCGTTCGTTGGCATTCATTTTTTTTCATTACATAGAACTATATTTTACGCAGAAGTGTACAATGTTGTACATGACATTTATTATAAATCTTCATTTGACACGAAATATGTGTTTACCGTAATGATTTAATTATTTTTCTTATTTTTATTTATATTATTATTATTATTATTATCATTATTATTATTATTATTATTATTATTATTATTATTATTATTATTAT